CACAATCATTTTGTATCTCGCCGGATTTTTGAAAAAGTACTTAGTACCGAAAACTACAGCCATTTGAGGTAAAAAAGACACCTTTCTTTTATAAGAAAAGCCTAAAAGTCACTATATCCTTTGTATAATTAAAAGGATATAAAGAGTTTGTTTTTAACTAAACACAATTGTTGTCTTGCATTTCAGAGATGGAAAAATGAGCTGTTAACGTGGAAAAGGGAGAATCACAACGGCGTTAAAATATTAAGAATCGATCCCAGCTTGGTATGGATACCAGACATTGTCCTGTACAACAGGTTCGTAAAACACTCTGGTAGTGAAGGAGGGTACCAGTGAAATGTCTCCTGACAAGATCTAATGGTAATAGGAGAGTGGTAAACTTCAAACGTCGTTTTTCATATACCGAACCTATATCCTTAAATTAAGTAGATGAACAGATCGACTTTTGAATCAATTAAGCCAACATGTCTAATTTGGGTCGACCCACATTCGACTGGTAATTTCGAGTGTGGAGCGACTCCTTTTTAAACTGGTCGAACCTCTCATGTCCCGAATCTAACGTTCGACGTTTGAACTGAACCTGAATTGAATCCAATACGTTTTTATACTAGTGATTAAAACAATACTTAGTAAATTTTAAAAATTTCTTCTTTCAGTGCAGACAGTGTGTTCAGCGGTGGCCTTGAGAAATACAAGACACGAGTTATCCTAGAGGACGATGGTCGTAATGCATGGTACAGCCCAGCCTCGTTCCGAAGCACTTGCAATATTGATGTGACGTACTTTCCCTTCGACGAACAGAAATGTTCCATGAAGTTTGGCTCTTGGACATTTGTGCTAACAGACTTGGACATAGACGCTGAAAAGTCGCCCACATTCTCTGATAAGTACGTAAAAAGCGCAGAGTGGGATCTTATTAAGGCCTCTAAGACGCGAAACGTTCAGTTTTACGAATGCTGCTCGATTCCGTTCGCAGATGTTACCATTGAAATGATTATTCGTCGCAAGCCGCTGTTCTATGCCTTCAACTTGATAACCCCGTGTATGATCATGTTGTCGATGATTCTTCTCGGGTTTTTTCTTCCTCCCGAATCAGGCGAGCGCATCACACTAAGCATCACGGTCTTGCTAGCCATGGCTGTGTTTCTACAGCTGGTCGCGGAAACTTTGCCTCGCAACTCAGAGACGATCCCGCTGCTCGGCAAATTTTACATCACCATCATGGCGGAGATATCCATGTCCCTGATGTCAACCTGCTGGGTGTTAAACATTCATCACAGAAACTCCGGTCGCTCCGTCGTGAAGATTCCATCGTGGGTTGAAAAATTTGTTCTTCGCTGGCTGGCTAATATACTGTGTGTAAGAAAGCCTGCAATTAAAATGGAGAAAAGTTCAAACGAAGGCAAAAGCGGGGATTGCCATGGTGACATCCAAATACTTGCGCAGGAGCCCACAATGAGCGCTGAAGAGCATGCGCTGTTACCAATGAATCACGTGACTACCGTGTGTCGTTCGATAGCAAAGGTACAGAAAAGGCTTTCGCTTCCAAATGGCATGCCCAAGAATTCCGAGCAAAATTCAAAGAGAACCGAGGAAGATATTGCGAAAGACTTGACAGTGCTGGCAGAGCACACAAAATTGAATAGACAAATTGATGAAAATCAAAAGAAATGGAAACACGTTGCCATGGTGATGGACCGATTTTTCTTCTGGTTTTTCGTCATCACCGTTCTTATTTCTACGTTAGTGATATTCAAAGAAAAAATACGACAGGAAAGTTCTGGCTCTTCTCGGATAACCTCCTGATTCAATAAAGACCTTACGAGTGGCCGTTGGTATGCCATGGTTCTATCCTAACCAGAAAAGTTGACTACAAGACTATCAAGACAAGACTGAGAAATTCAAAGGGATATCCTGGCTCGAAATACGACAGACAAGACTCCAGGAGCCCATACAAGTTCTTCCTAGTTTGACACATATCACAACTATTATGGTCTCTTGTTGATGAGACTACCTCTAAATAATCTCGTCAAATTACTCTATATAAAACTTTCGGTACAAAAACAGTTTTGTCTCTTATTCGTACGGATACGTAAGATGATATGTGCAATGTTTTTGGACTCCGACGGCCAATTGGTGTTGGAGAAGTTTTATACGCACTGAAAAGATCCTCAGTTGCCAAATATTTTAAAAAACATCAGTATTATAAAATTAACTACAACAACTTGCAGAACATGAAGAGATTTCTATGAAACAAGGCATTATAGGTAATGTAAAGAGAAATAAGAAATAAACCTTTACCAAATGACCTAAAATGGGCGCGTCTACGTCACCCGATAAATTAAAGCACCTCTCGTGTGCCCTCCTAGAACATAGGACAGGGTCTTCTGGGTAATTAAGACCCGGGTTAAATTCTTCAAAATTCGAGGTGATTCATGTAATGGGTTGATAAAGACGTTTAAAACCAAACAATACTACGACGGCTTGTTCGAGGAATAGAACACGATTTGTGTTGTTATTTAATATATTCTTAAGAAAAAGCTTCATGAAGCCGCACAATGAGGCAAATAGCCTGCGAAAACATCCGTTTCTCCTCCTTCTTCGTAGACGGATGTTTTCGCAGGCTATGAGGCACAGTGAAGAAATAAAATTTCTGGTGCATTGAAGTAATATAACAGGAGCAAAAATCACATTCTGTTCCCTCATTGCAACGCAATCTCCTAGAGAGTATGAAGCTTATATGTACCATACAATCCAAACTAATGTTAAATTAGTTTCCAAACTGTTCTGTTTACAACAGCGGAAATAATATCTCTCTCAGCATGAGAAACTGTTGGTCTTCTTCTATTTATTATTACCAAAGATCAATCTCTCAGTCTGGGACTTTAAAAAAATGATTAAAACATCAAACTTTTTCTTCACAAATAAAAAGATTTTATTGTATTCCGAATAACACACAATGTTTTGTGAAATTTTGTAAAGATGAATTTGACCGTGTATGAAAATACACTCAGTTTTGTTTGTTTAAGACAAGCCAAGTTGTGTCTTAGATTTGATTAAAAGCTTTGATGGAGACAGATTTGCATTTGCAAAACAGAATTCGAGGGCTCCATTACTAGCCTTATGAAAAATGAAGGACCAATCGAAATACCGTTTACACTGGCAAGGGGTTCAATAGTTGATCATGGTGAGTGCGATCCCATTTTAACAAACTATTTTTCAAGGTATAATATAGACAGTGATTTCCACTTAGCTTTTGATGCTTAATTTCCCGGCTTAGGTAGTTGAAGGCAAGACAAGAGCACCTTTCAGAGGTGTTACACGTGTATACAAGTCCCGTACCCTCAAATACGTTCTTTCAGAAAATTAAAATGCACAACTCTCGCGCTTCCGCACAACCGCTTATCGGTAGTCTAAAAGAGCTTAGTTTCTCCCGGCTTAGTTTAAACGAAACATTTAGTTATTTACTTTCTCAGTTGTTATTACATACGCGTTTACGTCCACAAGAATTAGACGTAGGTCAGTATTGACCTGAGAGCATAGCCTAAGATAAATTTTAACCGGAGACGGGGGTTGCTGCTGATTTTTTTTGATGGTCAAGAGAAATAAGTACCGTATTTTCTCGATTAAATACCGTCCCCAAATAAACGTCGTTTCTGGCAGCTAAAGGGAAGTTGTAGATAAGTCCATCTAAAATTTATTTGTAGTTTTATAAACTTTAACTACACTTAGCGTCAATAACAGCGATAAGATTAGAACAGCGCAGTTCATTCGTTTAAAACGAGAGACAAAAGCTGCAAGAGAAATGGAGACCGGCGTAGAAAGGAGGAACCATTCCCATGCATTTTTCTCGCGGCCTCGCCGAACAACAACAACAAAAACTTCATTTGCATTATTTTCTTTTATCTTTTTCAGTTACGTTTTGTATATATTTTTATTATATATATTTACGTTTTTTAGTAATTTTTCATATATTTGAAATGTAGCTTAATTCACAAACTGAAAATAATTTAAAGACAAAAAAATAAGGAAAAAGGAAAAGTATAACAGATGAGCATAAGCTGAAAGCATAGCAAGAACGGCTTAGCAAAAAAAAAAAAAGGAAAAAAGAGAAAGAATGAGGTTTCCTTGCCGGTCACGTTCAAATAAAACCACCAGCTGTGCAGACTTTGTTTTAAAACCTTCAGTTATATTAATGAACCTCCGCCATGCTAATAGCTGTTTTATTACATGCCTGGTAAGCCGCGCGTTCAAACGTGGTAGTGTATATTATCCTGGCACACTCTTCCCACTTATTGCTTGACTGAAGATAGTAGTGGCCCTGTCCAAGGTACGGTATTAAAGACGGACGACAAAAACGCGCAACTTGTTTTGCAACCGTGACATTGCTACAAAACGAGTTGAAAAGCGATGTTGCGCGTCTTACCACCCACTTTCAAACCTGTCTTGCAACAAATCAGGTTGTTGCAGGTTGCGAAAAGGTGATGCAAAAAGGAGAGAGTAGTTCTACTTTTTGCAAAAAAAAAATTCGCACATGTTGCGCGTTTTACCGGCCCTAGGCAAAGTTGTTTTACAGCAAGTAACGTAATTCCCGTGTATGGCGTGACTCCCGCGTAATTTTATCCAATCAGAATTCAGTATTCGCGCAAACGTGACTTGCAGCAACCTTTATTTGTTGCAAGACAGGGTTGAACGCGGCCAGTAAACCGCACACTCGTTCTGCAGCTTGTTCTGCCTGTGACCAATTTTTAAATCCCTGGAATACGTCATCCACGTCTCTTTCGCACGTAAAAGAAGCTTGATACATTTTCCCAAATAAATTGTTGAGAAAGATGTAGTTTGGTTACAGTATTGTCCGATTTCAAAACCCGACGATTGCTATGGAATTTCATGCACTTAACTGATGAACTGTCGTCATGCGCAATGCAAGAGCTTGGGTCACCACTATCCGAAAATCAAGAGACTTTTCATAAAAGAAAAACGAATCTAAACTGCATTGTGGAGTTATAAAAAACGAGAGATAGTAGGCAAATTCTAATCATACTACTCCTGGTGCTTCGTTTTTCCCTAACTACACTTCACCTGTGTTTTCAAAAACACATCATGCGACAATTTGAACTTGGCCGACATGTTGACGATTCCTTTAATAATCAGAGCGCAACGTATCGTTCCGATACTGATTATACGAGGTCTGTATTTATTGCTGTTAACTCTCTCCTTAAGTTTATAAATTCCCAAATTACACGCAACAGAAAAATCACATCGCAGAAATTCCTAAATTTTCCTAAGGTATAACGTTAATGAATATCTTTCAAAATTGGCTTCATCCTGGAAATTACGTGATCGATTAGTAGAGAGTACAACTTAATCTTCCGCATTATTACACTTACAAATCAAAGTTATTAGCTATGTCAAAATTTATGTAAAGCACGCACGTATTGGCCACTCTTTGCAGCCAAAGCAAATAGTTATAAACTGAGTGAGCCAAGAAAAAGGGTTGTCGTTGAAAAAAATAAGAGTCAAGTTCTTTTCTGGTTTCAGGTCGGTGATTTGAACATCCTTTACTGGTTGATCACGAATTGCACAATCGTCAATTCTTAATTTTGAGGCAATGTACTGATCTCTTTCTTGAAAATGAAAACATCGGATTGTGGTGTTACAATCAAGTATTTAAAAGCCGGCAAAGAGATATTTCTTAAATTGGAATTAAATCGAATTTCGAACTACTTTCTGCTTCCCTATTTTAAAACAACCAAAACTGTTTTCCTACTTTTAATGTAGGTGAAAATTACTAGTGAAAATTAGCAGATCGAAGATATAATTTACCACGTCGGAAGGTCGATTAAAAAGAGCAGGAAAAAGTCATCAACTTTGTCTAAAATTCATGACAGCCTAACAACTCTTTGTGTCGCACTCGCCTTTTTTCCATTAAGATCAATGACAACTTTTGCATTTTTTGCAATCAATAATTAAAAAGTTTAAGCGATTTCTCATCAATTCGTGGGAATTGTGGTCTGGTTGCAATTGATTGTAATCAAATCCGATTTGGTTTTCCGACCAGTGACAGACATACCCTTTGGACATGGTAACAAATTGAAAACCGTAGAACACAGATAAAGACTTGCTTTCCAAACCACATCATTATGACAGAGACGAACTAAATGCCAGGATAATGCTGACAGCTTTAGAGGAAAGTATCTATCTTGAGGCGTAGCTAACACTCCGCGAATTTATCTTCAAAGGCCGATCATCGATCGCAAAGAATATTGCTCACCTGGCGTTCTATTAGAATCCCTGCTACTTCAAGATTTCATTGGAAAAATATTTAGTCACGTCAAGTACAAGGAATCAGTTCTTTTGCATAACTCTTCGCGTTTCTCAGAAAGTTGAAGGTTCTGTCAATCGACAATTGGCAATTCAGAAGATTTTAGAAATCTCGGCGATCTTAAAGAAGGCCCGTGTGAAGAGCAACAAGGCATCGATTAACTCACTGCAAAAATCAGGGCCTTTTTACTCGTTTTCGCTAGTCAGGAATCAATGAAAGGTAAGTAGCGACAGAAATATTTCATAACGTAACGATGTTTGATTTTTGTAAATTATATCAACATCAGTAGAAGCTCTTTTGAACTCTAAAGTATACGCGGGCAGGTGTGCAGTTTACTACGAAATCTATATTCCTTTCTTTGACTCCCGCTCATTTAATTAGCATAACACTATGGATACTTTCGTCCTGCATGTTCAAAAACATTACAGGAGAACTTGAAACATGCTTTGTCTTTAGTTTATTTAGCTTTATCTTTAAGAAAATTCATTTTCGCCTTGTTTCTACTGTGTATTGCTCTTTATAAAGTGGACAGTTTGTAAGCCTTGATGTAGACTAGCTACATTTCTTGTTTCGTACTTTTTTGACTTTTTTGTTTTACCTGTTAATTCACTCCCAAAACCGGCTTCTTCATCTAAATACCGACTGATTTTAATCAGTGATTAACCGCAATAAGTTGTCACTGAGTCCTGAGCGAAATAGCAAGATGAGGTTCCTAGATCGGCACCCTTAAATTCTAGTTAAAGAACCAATTTATAACGACCTTCGAGTAGAGACTTTCATGGCCGCAAGAGACATAACGCTAGAGAATGTGGTCGGTTACGTGAGTTGGTCACTAACGATAAAATACGAATGTAATCACTTGAATGTTAAAGTAAAATTTGTAATTAAGAATAATTAAGAAAGAAAATGCCAAAATGTATCGTGAAGCATTAGTAATCCCTCTGAGAAAATGAACGATTCTGATCTATGGCTCATTAGCAGCTTAACACTTGAAACTTTCACTCGACCTTGAACATTTATTCAACAATACACAAGTGGGAAAGCAAATTAATTCATCGAATCGTAAGATAAGTTCGCCAACCAGCCTATCTTGTACAAGATTGTCAAAAGACGGAAAATGTTAAGATTCCATGGAAATCATAAATTTTAGAATAGCGTGACTTAGATGAAACTAAAGAACAAAACACTGTGAAAATAATCCACATTATTTTAATAATGTGTTTAAAAACACCTAAGTGTGTCAGAGAAAAATGAGAAGGAACCTATACCATCCGATTGGTACGACACTCAGTGAAAATTTATTACAAGAGAGGATCGAAAAAAAGTTCAAAATGAATTTGTCATATCGAATTAAGCGAAACTGTGATAGTTCGTGGTGACTGAAAGAAGCAGATATAAAAAGGCCAAGGACGCGTGGAAGTAGCGTTCTGCTTACAATTTTTTCTTTAATTTTTAACAATTAAACTTCAAGATTTCCTTGAGTTCGAAGTACCCGTCGTCCACCAAACTTTGCCTTTTAATTTGCCTAAAATCATGCATCATTGCCCAACTTTTTATGAACTTGTAACTGATCTTGATAACCGAAATGATTCCGTCCGGCAAATTGCCAGCCTTCTTGAACAAAAACCCAGTATTTGCTAATAAGGCCACTAAAGGGGGTGGATTATCGTCATTTTTGCGATAGTTTAACACCTGACGATATTTATGAACGCGAGCTGTTCACATGTGTTCAGGCGCTGATTTTGTCAGTTAGGATTTTACCCCTCATTTGAACAAGATCCGTTTTAAGTCTAAAAGTTATTTTCTGAGTTCGCTTTTCAGAAAAAAAGTGCTAGAGGCTTCGTTAGACTTCATGAAAAACATACCTAAGTCTAACTAGCCCAATTTTTGCTTTTACGTTTGTTATTTGAATTGTTTGCAAAGCGGCTTTCTCGAAAATTCCCTGAGCAAGGGTCACCGTGGGCCAACAATTAAAAAATATATATTGATTCACTTGATCTTGCAGAAACTTAACATGAATTCCTTCTCATGGGGAAGTTTGGTTCTCGCTGGAGTCCTCTTATTAACAATACAGGGTAAGATTTGCTGAGATACCATTATTTATCCCGTACCATAAAGAATAGAGCCAATCAGAAAGCTACAAACGGCGAGAAAGTTAGTTGAGACGCTTTGCCCTATAGGAGGGTCTCAAAGCGGTTAACGGTCAGCCGTCAAACGGCCTAAAGATTAAACGTCAACCGTCAAATATGCAGATCAGAAGATAACCGTCAAAAAGTTTCATGGTATTTCAAATCTCACTATTTCATTTAATATGTACTTTAACAAATGGGCAACATTTCTACTAAATAACCGTCAAAGGTTAAAAGCTCTAAAATGTAACCATCAACCGTCAAAATTGGAGAAAATTTATGGTAAAGCGTCAAAGCTACCACCCCACTGAGACCCAAACTCGTTCCCAGGTTTCTCTCCCACCCGTCCCTACGGAGCGAGAGAGAACCTGGGAACGAGGTTGATTGAGACCCTCCTAAAGGGTCTTTCTGACCTTTCAAGCTTGCCCTCCCCACTCCCTCCATGCAATGTTGTGCCGCTGTTCAAGTTACCCGTAGGAAACAACAAACACCATAACTTTGAATGGAGGGGAGAGGGGAGGGGTGTAGACTGTTTTGTTATCCGAAGTTACCCCTTTTGATGAAATTTAGATGTCTCAACAATTTTGTCGCCGATTAAAAAACCCGTTGCATATTCTGCGATATACAAGGAGTCGTATTCCACGACCAAGTATGTGAAGGAAGGCACTAATTTGAGCATTCACCTATAAAAACAGCGCACTCATATTAAGGCTGGCTTTAACTAACGACGGAGTCAGAGTCGGATCGGAGCCGTAAGCGGAGTCGTAAGAGAGCTTATGACCTAGTGAAAATTAAGAATCGGAGTCATAAGTGCAACAGAATCGGAAGCGGAATAATCAGAGCGTTTCCATTTTCTTCCGACTCCGCTTATGACTCCGTCGTTTACGATCTAGTGAAAACCAGAAGCAGAAGCGGAAGCAGAAGCGGAAGGATAAACCAATCGCAATGGACGTTCCCACGCTTTTTGATTGGTTCAGTTCTTTCGCTTCTGCTTACGACTCCGATCGACCACCTAGTTTTCACCAAGAGCCATAATTGTTAGTGAAAACCAGCCTTACGGAATTAACGACCATATTAATTTATGTGGCAGTTGGAGGGACGTTTGGAAATAGAACCATTACACCTGAAGAGCGACTGATAGATGATTTGCTTGAAAACTACACAAAAGAAGCCAGGCCCGTAAAGAACCCAAAGCACAAAATTAACGTTACTTTTGGATTTGAGCTAGTGCAGTTGGTACACGTGGTAAGTGAATAAAAACAAATCTGCGACTTCACTCTCTGCGACCTTCTCCCCTTCACCCCGGCCGCCTCCCCCCATTCTCCTCACTCCTTACTTACACCGGACATGTAGGCTTAGTTTCTGTTACATTTTCAACTTCAGGGTCTAACTTGTACCACTTTTCTTTTACCTAAAATTCAAAGCCGGTCTTAGTTCTTCTTGTAGACTATAGTAAACGTTTTACGGTCCGTCTCAATCATCATTTAAAAGTGTCAAACTACACATTTCTAAGCGAACGAAGAACTCAGTTTATAAAACAAGGACAGTTTAAAAAAATCAGTACAGATTACCTTTTCGCCTCCTCCGTCAGTATATTACGGTGGCCCAAAAGTGTCACGGCAATCTCAATTTGTTCACGGCAATTTCAATTTACTCATAGCAATTTAAATTTGTTCACGGCAATTTCAATTTACTCACGGCAATTTCAATTTCTCGAGCAATAAGCCCCAATTACATTGTAGTTTATATCCCATAAGACAGCACGAGAGACTCTCGATTAAACTTAGAAAGCTCCAACAAGCTAAGTCAAGCAGAAAAAACACTGCCCGTAATAATGTAAACTTAGCACACTCTTCCACTAGCGCGCACTAGGCGCCAAGAATTAACAATGTACATTACAATGATGTACATAGGCTAGCAGAGACTCCAAGAGCCAAGATCGACGAACTTGACGAAGTTTAGAATGTAATCAAAACCGCTCTTGAGAATAAACGATGTGAGACTTATGCCCGTTTATTATCTGAGTCTTTAGAAATAAGGGGAAAAGCAAAAGATAATTCAAAAAGCGAAAAACGGTTTTCAACCGAAAGAGAAAAGAACGCAATAGAAACAAAGGGAAAATGCGTTACAACAACACATGGGACTGAGTTGCTCGCTTCGGGTTATGGGCTCCAAAATAACCTATACAATGCACTTAGGGCTTATTGCTCGAGAAACTGAAATTGCTGTGAGTAAATTGAAATTTCCGAGAATAAATCGAAATTGCCGTGAGTAAAATTGAAATTGCCATGAGTGAAATTGAAATTGCCCGTGAACAAATTGAAATTGCCGTGAGTAAAATTGAACTTGCCCGTGACACTTTTGGGCTACCGTCGTGTATAACCTTCAGCAATTCGTAACTAGGTTTTAGTATCATCATCCGGGCTGGTGTGGTCCGTAATATGAGTGCTAACGTGGAAGTTTCTCACAACTTGTGCGGAAGCAGCCTCGTTCCTGGGCCCTATAGAACGATGTTGGAGTTGAACCAGTTGACGGTATCTTAAACTGTTACTCTCAGTTAGTTATTGAATGAATAGGTCAATTAATTCAAGATGTTATTGGTAATCTCACTGTTAGGTGAACCGTGATATTTAAAGTTACACAATTGTCAAACGCTTTTGTTATAATTTGATTCCAATTTTCATTTCGATTCCAGAATGACCGGAACCAAAGGATCACAACAAACGTTTGGGTTCGGCAGGTAATGATTAGTTATCTACATCTCTTTAACCGTCTGAGAAGCAGACAACAGTCTGAAATAGCCTGCGTGGCAGGCGTTAAAAGGGGAAGGAGAAGGGGGAATTTGGGCGTGTGAGAGCGCGTGGTCTCGCCTCCTAATTCCCTTTCCCTTCCCTTTCGAACGCCTGCCACGCAGGCTAGTCTGAAACGACATGGTGCGTTGTAAATTCCGTGATCTCAAAACAAAACCTATAATCTTTTGATAGATTTGGAATAATGAGCTATTGACATGGGAACCAGATGATTACAATGGTATAGAGGCCGTTAGACTTGACGCCTCCCGTATTTGGATTCCAGATATTGTGCTGTACAACAGGTGAGTGATGACGACTGGAGTTACTTGTTGCTTGCAGTTTAAGCCAACTGCAAGACCCTATTTAACTCCTGACTAAGTAACTCTCAAAAGAATCAGTCAGATAGGCAGATGTAAGTTTCTAGTCAAATGCTGGAAAGCTTAAAGTAGCATGCGAAAGTGCCGCTAAAAGAATTTGTTTTGGAATGGCCACGAACGTTTAGAAATTTCATGAGTAGAACTATGTTACACTTTCCCACCTGCCCGCGTTTATGAGGGGGCTTATGAGAACCTCCACGATTGAGAAGACGAGGTTCGTGACACAATCAATTTAAGAGCAACAGGCACAATTGCCTGCGTGCAGACGTCTCTTATTTCCTTGTTGCACGCGCAACAGGCACAATAGAAAGACTTCGGCTTGTCCCATGCTGAGCCTCTCACGCAGACGTTCTTTTCGCTTGTCACGCAATTAATCCTCCCCGACGAAAGTTCTTGGGGAAGGAACGTGTGACGAAGCCTTAAGAACGCCTGCGCGGGAAGTTAGTCCCATGTATCTCTTCTTGGGCCATAATTTCTTGCGAGACGGGACACCACATACGACGCCTCCACTACCCCCCACCCCTCCCCCATGACAAAGTTGTGGAAAACTTGGGTATTTTCTCGCAAATCTCCAAGCCCTGGTTCCTGAAAAGCCGATTAATCTATCCTCCGAATAGCAATTAATCCACAGTTTTTAAATTTCTTATTCCCCGGATAACTAATCGTGGCTTAAAAAGTTGCTCCTGATAGCGAAATTATCCCGCAATTAACTTATCCCAGATTAGTGCTTAAAAAACCGGTTTAACGAATTTTTCGACCGCCTGCTTCTAAAAAAATGGCGCGAAAATTTGCGACAGCGCATGGTTTCTTCTCGTCTGCCTTTTGAGATCGTGTCTTAGGATTTCTACTAGATATTTTATTGACTCTCGGTCAAACCTATATCTGCCTCGAAGTTCTTTGTCTTTTAGTTGGTCGAGGTCAATTTCTCGTTGTTGGAACTTTCTTTCTCGTATTTGTGAAACAGTAAGTCGGCCATTTTGTTTGTTTTGACAAATTTTTTCCCCCGATTAGTGAGTTAATCGTCTTCGCTAGGTGGGTTAAATTTAACACGTAGTTTATTCCTAGATTAGTCTTAATCGTGCTTTCCGAGGAACAGAATCTCATCTTGAAATAAAATTTATTCCGCGATTAGCGATATTTAATCCTGGATTAGCGATAATCGGCTTTCCAGGAACCGGGGCCAGAACATTACATGTCTTCACCTCTTTAATGAAATGGAAAGATGCTTTTGCAAGTTTCTCAAAATTTTATCAGAGAATGAAATTCTTTCAGTACCGAGTCTGGAATCGTCAAGGTCAGTGTTCCTTCTTTGTTATTTTCAGTGCTGACAGTGAGTTCAGCGGTGGGACGGAAAAATACAAGACGCCTGTTATTCTAACCAACAAGGGAAAGTGCAGTTGGTATTGTCCTGTATCTTTCACCAGCACTTGTCCTATAAATGTGCAGTATTTCCCTTTCGACCAACAGAAGTGCGTATTGAAGTTTGGTTCCTGGACTTATGAGGTGAAGAAACGTAAAAGTGCAGCTGAGTACAAGTTTACTTTTATAGACCAAATAAGGGAATCGCTCTAGCCAATCACAACACGGGTACCAAAAACCAATAAACCAATCAGAATTTAGACCGAAGGCGGGAAAACGCGTGAAGTATGCAAGCAGAAGCATATAACCCCTGATACAAGTCAAAACTGATTTTGATTGGTTGATAAGAAAAAAAGAATAAACACCAGTTCTAACAGCAAGCAGATTGATTTATAGCATGTGGGTAAAGTCGTCGCATTTTCCAGTTCATTCATTTGCTCATTAAACAGGTATTTTACAGAAAAAGTCGTTGGATACCCCCAAGATAAGAAACTCCCGTGAACGCCGGTCTGCTTTGCGAGCAGAGGCGAACAGATGATAGCAGAGTACCCAAAAACAATTACAATTTTGAATATCCCTGGAATTTGGTTTACTTATTTTAGTGGCAAAATGCAACGTGCGTTTCATTAAAAATCAGCAAAGTGATATACGATCCTGTCAATGTAAGAATTTCAGTCTTAACAAGCGTCACGTCTGGTAAGGGGGGGGGGGGGGGGGGGGGGGGGACCCCCGGCCCCCCCCCCGGGATAACCCACTCGGGGGGCCGCTTTTGTTTCTTTTTCACATCATGAACCCTCCTCGGTCCCCCGGGGGCCGTCAGTCGGCCGGGTTAAAAAGGCGCGACGGACGTTTTCCCCTTTTCCCCCCCCCCCCCTCCCCCCCCCTGCGCCCCGGGGGCGGAATCAAACTCCCTTGGATTTTGTGTATATTTTTTAGGGGGAAAAAACAACGTGGGTTGTAATAAAAAACGCAAAAGAGTTATACGAGCCTGTTAAAGTAAAAATTTTTGCTTTAAAAAGGGGCACGGCGGGGGGGGGGGGGGGGGGGACGGGGAGCGGATCCCCGGACCCTCCCCCTGGATAAGCCACTCAGGGTGACGCATTTGTTTCTCTTTCACATCATGAACCATCCTCGGTGACCCAGGGGCAGTCAGTCGGGCCGGATTAAAAGGCGCGACGAACGCTTTCACCTTTTCTCCCGGCCCGACTGACCGCCCCTGAGTCTCCGAGGATGATCATGAACTGGTGCAAGAATAAGCATGTTACTATTAAAGAGTATGAACGTTCTGCCTCCCCCCAGTGGGTTTTCTTTCCATCCCTGCCATTCGGCATAGCGCCGGCCATTACAACGGCCACTTAATGCAGTCCTACTGGCCGCTGTGGAGACCTTTGGCTTTACAGTGAAAATAATCAAAACCATAAATCTATTTTTTATCCAGATAACAGAGCTAGACATGAAAGCAGAAAACCGCTCCTCGAAATCACAGTATGTAGAAAGTGCCGAGTGGGAACTGGAAGATGTGACGAAGCAAAGAAATGAGCGGAAATACGCGTGCTGCAAGGAGCCACTTGCCGATATCAGCATCACTATTTTGATAGACAGAAAACCTCTTTTTTATCTCTTTAATCTTGTCATTCCGTGTTTTATAATCTTGTCTATGGTTCTGCTGGGATTTTTCCTGCCACCTGCATCTGGGGAAAGGATCACGCTGAGCATCACAGTGCTTCTGGCCATGGCTGTGTTCCTGCAGCTTGTAGGGGAGAGCTTACCACGTAACTCAGAGACGGTGCCACTCTTGGGTAAGTTCTACATCACCATCATGGCAGAGATATCCATCTCACTGATGCTGACTTGCTGGGTCCTAAACATTCACTATCACGGGTCTGGAAGCTCCGCAAAAGAGGTTCCTCTCTGGGCCCGAATCATTGTCCTGCAGTGGCTTGGGTATTTGCTGTGCGTTGGGAAGCCCGATGGAAGTTCCCCGGACGTCCCCAACCCTGACCTCAGATACCACCAGGACGACAGGCGCAGAGGTGGAGCATTCGCGATGGACTGGGAGACGTCTTTTTCTCCAGCCGCTAACTGTCACTGCACGCGGTGCATGAACGCTAGAGGAGCTCACTACAGCGGAGACAGAAGCCCAGATGAATCAAGATTGCTAGAAGTAAGGTACACAGGAGAAACCTCGCCTGTTGACATGCCTGAAAAACGCTCACGAGAGAGACCCAAGGAGAGGCTGTCTGAGGAAATAAGTGTTCTTGCAAACAGCATTCGAGAGCGCGAGAAAGTGGAGAAAAATCAGGAAGACTGGAAATATTTCGCAATGGTTATGGACAGAGTTTTCTTCTGGATCTACTCTATGACTATCGTGATGTCGACTTTGACCATATTTTTTACTCGAGGTGAGGAGTAAACACGAATGTGAGCAGATTTGGTTTACTGACAAAACCGCAACACTCCCGTATGGATGTAAATCAAAGTGACGCGAGCAAGACAACTTTGAGAAGCTGAAATTCAGAAGCGCAGAACATGAAACTGCTTCAAGATCGATGAAGACTAACATCTTTAATTCAACAAAACGCTGACTTTAAAAGATCAAGATGGATGTAATTATGTAAATAATGTCTCGTATCGGGTCAATCATTTAAAAAAAATGTATAGAATCTGTCTAGAAATGTATATAAAAGTTGACTGGTTTTTAGAGCCGGGGTGATCAGCACCTAATTTCTCCTGATAAAAATTCCTGTTGATTTACATGACAATGATCCCACAAAAAATCTTTTGTTTGTAATCAATTCAGTCATTTTGAGACCAGAAGAAAGATACTCAAGTATATGTCATGGGCATTTAGGGTTAGGGCCGAGGGGACTGCGGTCCCCTTTCCCTTCTTGTCTGTGATATTTTCTGTTATTTTTAAAGAATTCTCAGTAAAATAAATAGTATCTATACATAGCCGGCAAGTATTCCGGCCACCCCTTTCTGAATTTTCTGGATCCGCCCCCGGCAGTGATGATATACATGCTGATGCCTGTTAGGACCACTAAGACTGAGGATTAACAAGCTACTTTTTAAATTAAAATCAGATACATATAACTCATATAAAACAAATGAAACAAAGAAACTTGTATTGATGAATGTAGTTTCATTCATCCTAATTTTGGCTCTGATAGTGCAATCAACCCCAATCAGCGCGCAGACGAAGATAATAATTCACGGTTTGATCATATCGAAGACAGTACGTAGCCTAGTGCGAACTTTTTCGAGAATAAGCTCGTGTTCAAACTAGTTTGAGCTATACGCTATTGTAAAGAAATCTAGTTAGAGTTGAGCCTACGATCAGTTGAAAACGAGAAACCTGTCAGCGCCAAACTTAAAAAAACACGTCATCTCGATGGGTTGACATCTGAGCCCGCGATACAGTCATGTGATACTGATCAGCGGATACCCTGTTTTGACAGTTGTCGATATTTACAACATGAACGTGCAATATCAGGTTGCAGGCTCCCACAATAGCTAAAAAGAGTAACATTTTACATTGGTTTCCCAATGGTGCGGACGGACGCACAGTCTCGTGACTACCAAAGTTTCTTGGACGGATAGGTAACCAAATTTTCTTAGCTATGGGGTTCCGCTTGCGGGTGCGAGGAGATCTGCTAATAGTAAGGTTGGCCATTAGCCAGAGGTTAGCTTGTAAGGGTTCAGTGTCTCATGTAGCTTGAGGAGCTTACCAAAGAGAATTTTGTCACTAACCATTTTATACTGTCATCAAAGTTTAATAATCCGTACTAGCAGAATTACCTACACAATTTCAGTAATGTATCAGTTGAATGAATGAATATCCTTAATTTAAGCACGATCAGTAAAACTGGTGCTTGAGGGTTCGTGTGTACTATAAAAATATATAATACATTCTTATCTAACTATGGCTTAAATATGAGATGAAAAAGATAATGCTAAAAATTAAGTTCAAAATGTAACATTAAAGATTTTATAATTTACCCGAAAATTCAGTAATTTAAATTTAAAAATTTAAGAATTAAATAATCTCTTGGGTACTGACATTTATTTTCCATAAATGCCTTGTGCGTGTTTATTTAATTCACACGTTTTGCAGGTGATCCGCGGCATTTTTTATTAGAAAGTCTTGTGTTAAGGTGGCTCGTCTGGATTTTTTTGGGAGGATGCCTCCCAAGTTTGAGCGTTAACTACGTCGCCATCAGTAAAGATATGGGAAAAAGATTACCACAACTGTATTATATAAAGATGAAAGTTTCTTATGACCTGTGTTTTATTGCAATCGGGGTCGCCATGGCAACGTAATAACGCCATTAGGTTTTTTATTTATCTTTGTGTTTCTCTCTACCAGGAGTTTCTTTAAGAAATCGCTTAAGGAAGTATGTACCTACCATAATTACCTCAATTATGGCAAATTGTGAACAAATTCTATGAGAGCGGTCTCGAAATATTTTGAAACGAAGTTATAAGAATCATGAAAATGGTGAAATAGCATGCTATCCACACAATTAGCTAATATTTTAAGAAAATGATAAGCTTTGGAAACGCGGCTTCATCTCATACTAGTTTGATGCCATTGAAAATTGCGTACAAAAAAAAGAGGGGAATTGCTCTGAACGATCGCGAGTAAGAAGAATGTTATTAACTTGCATTCAGCTGCTTTTGTTACAGTTTTTAGACGTAATTTAGTCCGACCACGCCTACAAATTTCGCATTTTTTAAAAAACTGTCATGATCATCATAATTCATCATTGCCTCGCTTTGAGGCAATTATGACAATTATGACAATTACTCCTGGTAGAGAGAAACACAAAGATAAGTAAAAAACGCAATGGCGTCGTTTACGTTGCCATGGCGACTCCAATTGCGAAAAAACCCAGGTCATAAGAAGTTTTCATCTTTACACAATACAGTTGTGGTAATCTTTTTTCCATATCTTTACTCATGCCAACGTAGTTAATGCTCAAACTTGGGAGGTATCCCCCCAAAAAATCCAGTCGAGCCACCTTAAGATGAGGCTGTTTCGATAACGTTCTTATTTTGCGAAGCGAAAAAACATTGGAGCCTAGCAGGCAGGCAAGGATAAGGAGGATAAACTGCTCAAAACTGAGGGAGGAGTCGGTCAGGCAGCAGAGTGCAGGGCACTAATTTTCAGCGATATGACATTTTTAATTTCTCCACATTCCTCATGATGAAATTGGTGAAATTTAATTTTTCTAAACTGAACTTCAGCCTGAGCTATGTCCAAAGGAATTTTTTTCTTCTCAGCCTCAACGTTGTTATAAAAAAAAGGTGTAGTGAGTTCAGGCAGAAACCCCTTATGAGTTTCTGGTTCAGGATACGAACGGCTGCTATATAATTAGGAAAAAAAATGTAGCGTCAATAATATGCTTAATTTGTAAATGTCTATTGACAGAATTGTTTTTCTTGATATAAAATACGCCCTTCACATCAGCATTTTCTTTTAAGTTACTCACACACATTTTCAAACCTGTTTTGGGAATGAAGTCTGGTCTGGGAGGCACTGTAAGCCACACTAAGGAAAAGAAAAATTACATTGGATTACATTGATGAAGACAAGCTAGATTTATTAGAGGACCACAATTCTATCAGTTATCGCATTTTACTGCTATGGATAACCTTCTCTAAACATGTTAAGTTGTTATCTTATCGTATGAATAAGAAGCTGCACGAAACTCTGTGCACCGTAATTTTTAGGGAGTTATTTTTACTCCAAAAATGGAGTAAAAATTTTAGGTACAGGATAACCCCTTTTTTGGGGTTATTTTAACTCCTAATTTAACTCCGAATTTGGGGTCACTTTTACTCCTGAAAAAAGAGTTCTTTTTACTCCCAGTCTGGAGTTAAAACAACTCCGAAATGGGGTTACTTTTACTCCTTACATGGGTTGTTTTTACTCTTTTTGGTAACTCCGAAAGTGGAGTAAACATTTTAGGTACAGGATAACTCCTTTTTTCGGGTTATTTTAACTCCTCAATATTTAGGGTTACTTTTACTCCTGAAAAAGAGTTCTTTAAACTCCTTTTTGGAGTTAAAATAACTCCCCAAAAAATAACTCCACTGAAAGGAGTTAAATTAGCCCCACTAGACGAGTTATTATAGCTCCTTGAAAATTACTGTGTGGAGAAAAAATTCTCCGGCGGAAAGTGGTCACAGCAGGAATAGAACCTGTTCTCAGGGTCTCCTCTCTAATAGCGTCGGCATTTCTAAAAAATATCAACAAGAACAATTTTAATAGTGCAGTGTTTAGCGGCTCGTGTTTAGAGGCGATGTCTACACTCTACCAGATAGCTCTAGTCCCGTAAAGATAACCATATCGACGGATAGGGTTTAACTTCGGAGCGGTTTCTGAAACGGAGCAAAGATGCGCTGCGCCGATCCCGAAAGTAGAAAAACTCTTTGTGGCATTGTGATGTGTTTATACCAGGTTAGGTTTTTTTTTTATGTCGATATGATAAGCAATCCAGCATAGTGTAGCTTCAACATTTCCTCTTTTCTTGGCAGGTGCTACTTGACCAATCAGCAAGCTCTCGACCAGCGCTTTGGTAAAATGCTGACTCCCCTGTAAGATATATTCGTGTCAACGTTATTTCCATTTTTTTCTTTATTAGGAGCACCTGTCTCGTGTCCTTGTATACAAGGGATACCGAGAATAATAGCGGGACAAATCAACAAATAATTATTAAACCTCATTTCATTTTCGTAGAATACAATAAATAATTAACTTTGAGGCTGCATAACGTATATATGCGTTCGAAAAGGGGTAGTGTCGTTTGATGTTTACTGAAGCTGCCAATTCTAACGAAAAAGATTCTGGTTTAAGTACTGCGTATCGATTTGGAAAACTAGTCTTATCAGGCAATTAACACCACAAACTCCTACGGCTTAAGTCAAAACAATGCGGTCACAGGCGGAGTACTAGGGGAATTTTTAATTTTTTTCCAAGAGCCAGAAAGTAATTTGCCACATTCTGTTTTATTCTTTAACAATGTCGAGTCCCCAACAAGAAAGCGGTATTAAATTCAAATGGGAGTCATCAAATTTACATTTATTCAATGAAATTTTTCTCCATGTTGTAACTCAGTCGAAGTGGCCGAGAGGTTTAGAATTATTGCCGCCAAAATGGGTAATTCTAGACCGCAAATTTCACCACTTATTAATATCAGCTGGAGGAGATAAATTTTCTTGGAATATATTTTCACCGCAGGTAGGTTTTAGTTGGTGAAATGTTGGTAATAATGCGAAAAACTATTTAGATATTTTTCTCACCTTCACTTTTTTTCTTTGGTTGCATAAACGCTGAATTCATTTTAATTGCTCAAACAAAACCACAACAAAAAAGAATACAAACCGAGAGAGATTTAAAAGGCCGTCAAA